GGGAAGGTGTGTAAGTGTTAGTCGTGTGGGGATGCCCCCTCACGGGGGCGTACGTGTCTTTTGGTGTATTTGTCTGTCTGGTATATTGTTTGTCGGGGGTCGCAATTTTAAAGAAATGTATTCTAAAGTAATGCAAATAACTGATAAATAAGTAAAAACTTACCTGGGCATAACCCCGGCACAGGTGCTGTAACAAAGATGCCGACGGCGTCTATGCTTAAGCCGGGGATTAGGTCGGTGATTAAAAGGAAAGAAAGGGATTCTTTCCAGGTAGCCTTAATAAAGGCAGGTAGAATTTGCTCCTTGCACTACACTTTCACAAAACACGTGTGCTCTGGTCGGCTGCCCGCTAGGAACTGGTTGGGAACCAATCTCTGACTCTTGTTGGAACAGACCACATACTTCTATAGAAGTATGTAGAACAGACCTACTACCAACATAGACCACTTCACCCAATGATGATGGCATTCTGTTAAATTTTTGTCAGAAAAGTATTTAGCCGAAAACTGTATGAACTAAATTTCCATTTTATATAGATTCCATAAGAAAAATATTTCAAATTATCAATATCAATGTTGGGAAGCATCATTTAAATATACTACACTGTATTTTATTTATCTCTGAGACACAGCTTACAGCTTATGAAATACTTTTTCATAAACTGTTGCCAATGTGATCTCAGTTAATCTCATAGACAAAAGATAATCTCATTTAATTGACCAATCAACTCAGCTGCTCAGCATTCAGAATGATAGACAGATTAACTGAGATCGTACGTAAATAAAACATGACTTTACGGAGATCAAAAGAAATATTTCTAACAATAATGGTCAAAAACGAGTATAAAAATAATTTTATTCGTAACATTTAAATAATTTATCGAGCAGTAACAACCACGATTAAATGTATTTGAAGTTTCATCTAAATTGACCTGTTCAAATTAATCGGCCGAATCGACAGTTGTTCTTTTAACATGACGTTAGTTGTCATGTTTTGATGTACTGTTTTTCGGTTTGTGATGCTATATTTTTCTTAATTTTTACTTTTAAAAGAAAACAGTCATCTCAATTAATGCCAACGGTTTTTGTGGTGTATTATGTAGCAAAATAAGGATGAAAGTTTAATAATGCAGGAAAGCCTGTGTCTGCAGTGTAAAAAAGTGTCCGCAGGACCGACAAACAGATTAGTTCAGGACTCCTGCGGACACAAGAAATGCCGGGTTTGCTTGCTTGAAGACGAGGAAAAATGTAGGCAGTGTGAAGCGGCCAGTACTGACACCAACGGTGAGGTATCCGTTAGAGAAAATAAGAATGAGAACGGTGATGCAGAAATAAAAGAATTTGTAATAAACAATCACACTGCTGTTATAAAGCTCAATGGAAATGTTTCCAATATTTCCAAAGTATCGAATAAGGAAGAAAAAGTAAATAAAGAAGAATCTGTAGCCCCGGCTCAAGAAAAAAGTAGTGTTGAACCCAGTTCAACTAATGAACAAAATACTATAATTGAGAAGAAAAAGACTCAAGCTCGAGCTAAGAAAGGGGGTAAAGAAAAGAGAGCTTATAACACCATTGATATTCCCAAACATATTACCATTACATCTGATCCCTTGTCTTATAATTGTGGTATTTGCAAGAAGAGTTTTGTTACTAAGGCCCACGTTAAGTATCATATGTACTGCGCTAGTGGTAATTATTTTTTAATACACGTTTTTACCAAAATTTTATCTTAATTTAATATAAGTCATATGTCTACATAATATTTATGCTGTCTTTCACCTTTCAGCAATTAAACCGTACAAATGCGAGGTATGTCAAAAGGAGTTTATCCTGAGGGCTCAATTGGACGTCCACTCCTACAAACATAAAAATGTGAAGCTACACACCTGTACCGTTTGCCAGAAATCATTTGCTGACCGTAGTAAACTGTCCCGACATGCTGCGCTACACTCGAACGTCAAGTCGCACATTTGCTCCGATTGCGGTAACGCCTACCGCAGCAAGGAGTCCCTACGTCTACATTCCATTATCCACAAGGGAGAGAAGCCGTATGCATGCAAATTATGCCCTTCCAGATTCAATAACGTCTCTAATTTGAATAAGCATGTTGTCTCGCATTCAAGTAAGTAACATTTTAAGTAGTCGGTAGCATCGGTTCCCATTTCTTCTTTCTCCTTTCATAAGATTTGTTTAAAATATTTGACGTCTATTTTTTCTGTTTAATTTTCAATGCAAGAAAGCGACAGAACTTATGGTGACATAGATTGTTAAAGTTTAGCTATTACATTAAATCTAATGTATATAGATTTACACTTAAGACACTAGCTGCTACTATTGACCATTGTTGGCACTGCAATATAAACTGCAGAGTTATAAAGAATTGATTTAGTATTTCGCCCTTTCATTTTAGTATGGTTTTGAAAAATTCCAAGGCAGTTTTATTTAAAAAAGAGTATTTGTGGTATTGACTTTATATGTATAGTTATTTTATATTTATATAATATTTTATACAGCATGTTCCAATTTGAATTAATTAAACTTTTAAGTTCAAGTGGTACTACAAAAAAAAATATTGAAATATATCTTGCACCATTTTTTATGTGCCATATTGGTTCGATCCCAAAATGATATTTTTTCTAATATCTTTAATATGCATTCATTTAAACAAAATATTAGCAACCGCATAATTTGAAGTGGAAATCGGACCATTTAGAAGAAAGAAACATAAAAATCATGTTGCATAACTTTTACTGTGATATACTTTTTTAAACATATTTCTATTACTAGTTCTAGTATTTTAGCTTTATTGTAAAGGTATTAAGTTAATTCAAACAAATTCAAATATTTTTCCTAAAGAATCTAATCAAATGAAATCAATGTTTTTTATTTTGGATAATTACCCCGCAGACAAAGAAAAGTGGTCTGTAGCTTTGATTAGACCAGATAGACTGTAAGTGTTTTGACCGACTCAATCCGAATCTGAAGTCCATTTAGTTCAAACACCCCCAAAATTTGAGTAATTGGCAAAAAATAGAGAAGAATTGCCAAAAATCATGTTAGTCAGTGCAAAAAAAATTGGAAAAAATTTGTTCTGAACTTGATTAAGTGGGTTTCTTATGTATTTTGATGTGCTGAATCCGAATCCCCCTAATTCCCCAGATTTTGCAAAAATCGCAAAATAATAGCGGAAAATCATAAAAAATAGCGAAAAATCGCCAAAAATTCTAAAACACTTGTTCTGATTTTGATTAAGTGTGTTTCTTATGTATTTTGATAAGGTTAATTCGAGTTTGAAGTCTATTAGCTGTGTCCCCCATTGATTATATTTATTATTTATTTATTTATTTAAGTTACACCGCCTGACAGTTAAAACCAATTGGGTGGGAGAAATAGCTAATAAAAATAAATGCATTAACAAAATCAGATTACTAAAGTACAAGAGTAAAAAAACAGTTAACAATAACACAGATTATAAAACTTATAAAGAATTATAAAAGATAACCACTATGTATATAGGACCAAATAAAAAATACAGTCGACAAAGTTAAAATAAATGCTAACATAAATACCAACAAAACAATCATTTTAAAATTCAATTAAAATTAGTATACATATAATTATCCTAAAGCACGTCATATAAAGAATGATTTTGCAAAAAAACATAACAAAATAGCTGAAAATGGCAAAACTTCATATTTGAGTGTGAAAATTTGGAAAGAGGTTTTCTATATTGGATCAACTGTTCTTTTCATAAATTTTATCGAGTCGAATTTGAATCTAGTCTGTTGAGCCTCATTACCCAAAATTTGCAGAAATCGCAAAATATCTATAAAACAATGGAAATCGTTAATCCCAAAAAATCTTGAATAAATGTCATGGATATGAATTACTTCAAGACCTTGGAAGCTACAGCGAAGAATAAGGAGAAAAATCAGCATCAAAGAAAGCATGGTATGAGTCAGTCGAGTTTATTTTGGATTTCCATTCTTTTTGCTATATTTTGCTATTTTTGAAAAATTTTTAGATAATGAGGTTCAACAGACTTTAGATTCAAATTCGACTCGACAAAATTACTGGTATGAGAAGAACAGTTAATACAATCTAGAAAACCTCTTTTTAAATTTTCTCACTCTCATTAATATGATTTTTTGCCATTTTCAGTAATTTTTTTATGTTTTTTTGCAAAATCTGTTTGGCGGATACGGCTAATAGACTTCGAACTCGAATTGAGCGTATCAAAATACATAAGAAACACACTTGATCAAGGTCAGAAATGCGATTTTTGACGCTTTTTCACAATTTTTGGTGATTTTTCAGTATTACTTTGCCATTTTGGCAAAATCTGGGGGGGGATTCAACTTAAAAAAAATTTCATATTTGGATTTAGGACATCAAAATACATAAGAAACCCATTTGATCAAGTTCAGAACAAATTTTTTTATTAATTTACTCATGAATTTTTTTGACTGCGTAAAACGGCCATAAAGAAGGTAGTAGAAAACATCTGATCTTGAAAATAAATCAATACAGCTCTATATTCGGAAAAAGGTACGAGACAGACGAATATTTATTAACGAAATATCAATATTTTTTTGAGAGCCATTTCAAGTTAAAGTTTAAATCGCCCAAACTGGTACAACTTAGAACCTACAATTTCATTTGAGCAAATAACTCCATTTGCATATGTAGTACCCAAAAATACTGTCATTTTACTTTATAGAAGAGAAAGCCCATATGTGCGACCAGTGCGGCCGGAGATTTAAGCTAAAATGGGCGTTGTCGGTACATCGCAAGTCACATCTCCGCATTAGACCCTTCGAGTGCAGCATCTGCCTCAAGACTTTCGTCAACAAAAAGGAGCTTCAGCGGCACGGCCTAATTCACGCCGGTAAGTTACAAACCTTCCAAAACAACACCATTTCTATATATCGCACCTTAAACACCATATAGTTTATTTAAAGCCGACTATTTCCCGCATTTATCTGTTGTCGTTTTGGGTAGATACGAAGGGCTACACTTGCAGCATCTGCAACATGAGCCTGCGCCGCAAAGACAACCTGAACCGGCACATGAAGAACACCCATCCAGGTAAGAAGGGCGAGGTTATAAAGAATGTCGTAAAACCACCCGATTTGCCACCTAAAAAACCTGTCGATAATCCAAATGCCATAAATGTCATTACTGCTTCACCAGCATTTACTAAAAGTAAAGCTGAAGCAGTGCCCCCTGTTAAATCTGATTCCAGGACCGGAACCGTTATCAACGGACCCATCAAGCTTGCGTTTAAGACGCCGGCTTTTAAGAGCAACTACAATATTAACAGGTGAGTGCCGTCTTGAGTTTTTACATTTATTTTTGGATAAAGATTGAAGTAACCATTTTAAAATTGTACTTTTTTATTATTGGCTTGTATACTTTTACTTTATTTCAAATGTGTGAAGTTCAATCAAATTAATTCTAAAAATTTGTCCTAATATTCCCACCAAATGAAGTCATATGTGCTTTTTCATCACTCCATAGACAAGCTAGTCTTTAATAACTTCAAGAGCAGAACGTTCAGATCTCGCCTAGTGGTTTCAGTCTTTAATCGTAAATGATAGAAATTAATTCGCATGTTGTTAGCTTAATATATTAATTTCCGCAACTGTTACAATTAAAATAATTGTAAATTGTGATTTTAAGAGTATGTCACGCACTTGAAATAGACCCATATTTGCGCTTAGCCGATAACACTTATTTGGAAAACAAATAAGCATAACGACGCAAATAAAAAAACAATAGAAATACAAAATTGTTTCCTAAGGCTGTCATGTAATAGTTTTTTAAATTAATTTTTTATTGTTTAAATTTAATTATTAACTATGCCAGAAATCGCCACTTTTACAATTTATTTACTTAAAAATAAAGGCATGGCGGCAAAGTGTGATAGAAACAGACAAAAACTTGAAAGAATTTCGCAAGGAAATAAATAAATAGAATTTCATAGCACCTATTTTATATCAGCAAATTCAACTGCTTTTACCACTATTGTTATTATTAATTAATAAAATTAATTTGTGGTTTTAATTAATAAAATAATTTAACATACTTGATGTTACAACAACTGTTCAAAATTTTGTCTTAGTTTCTACGAACTAATACAAATGTTGTCTTAGCCTCACCATAAATTAAAACGATACCCATCAACTCCGAGTTACTATACATGCAAGCCATTCTTGATACCAACTACTAAAAAACTATTGTAAACACTATCACAACGACGATTGTAAAATCGGATTTCAGTATTCGAAGACCACGTAGCTCTCTACGCATATTGCGAATGACGCTAGAGACTACAGTTATTCAGCTATGTAATGGTTTAAAGTACTACAACTTCAGTCATTTTTTTCTCAGAAGCTATAAGAATTTTACATTTTTTTTACGATATTGACTCCATTTTTCATATTGCATCTATTCCCAAATTTTTTTGGATAAGTTGTGAATCACCCTGTATTTTAAATTCTTCAACCACGTTTCACGCCATAGCTGATACTCATTGGCGTTGTTTTCCAATAAAAAATTTCAAGCAGTCCGGCCAGCAGCAGTGGCAGCAGTTTGTTGTCATGCTGTCAATATTCGCGTGATGTTTGGTACAGAGTAAACAACTTTGGGTAGATAGATTTGTTGTTTCTTTAATTTATGTCACTAGTTTGGTTCTTAAATAGTATGTTTAAAAATGGGTCGTTTGCGAAATAACTTGCCTGAACTACTAAAAAATGTAAATAGTTTAAATCAGCAATCCGATTGGGTAGCCTAGGTCTAATAAGCATACCGTTAACAATATCAGTCATTTAAAGAAAATTTGTTGGAAATTTGTTCGGTGCATAACGTTAGCATTTTTCCGTAGCTCCTGTTATTTCATTGTGGGTAAATGTTACGTCACTTCTTACGGGAACAAACTCAATGAATTTTGCATCACGCAGGTTTTGTTGCAAAAGTCATTCACAAAACTACTTTTTTTGGACGTTCTTCAGTTATTAAAATTGAACTTGCTTCACATATGGGTTAAGTTGATTTTGACATAAACTAGTTCACAATTTACTATAAGTTGCTCTAACTTGCAATATGTCTACTACTACTAGTCAATTTGCAGCATCCTAAATTCCTTCCAGTTTGTTCATCGCGATTTTCCTACAGGCGTCCTATTTCTCAAGTACTTTAAACAACATAAACAAACCCACAAATTATAGGTTGAATTTGCAAAGGAAAACTCGGCATACAATCGTGATGCTATGGCAGCATTTTGATGACAGTCCCCGTAATATAATGTATTAAACACATTTTACAGGTACACAGTGAAGTTATGTATAGCGTATCATTTAAAATTAAAATTATCATTACTTTTATGAAATGTTGCATTGCTCGTGAGTCACCAGTATAAGAGTAAAAGAAAACCAAATACACGATTACTGTGCTATAAAATTGCAAAGGTTTTTGTTGGACTTTCAGCTGATTCATATAACCTACAAGGAAATTCACAGTTTTTATGTGAAAAAAATATGGTGAGCACCAATTTCAGAAAAAGTTCAAACAATTTCACCATTTTCACGAATTCGTTGATTTGTGACAGAACTCAGAGCTGTCAGATAATTTGTGGCTTATATGCCATCATTCCATGAATGCATCCATCAAAGAATTATTCCAAAAACCAGCGAGATTATTACTATTCAAATTACATCTCGCTCATAACAATAAATAAAATTAAAAATTAGTTCAAACGAGTCTTGAAAATCGAATTAGTAGTTATTAAAATATTTAAGAATAGGAAGCAACAAGATTTCACAAATCTAATGTGAGAAATGAGAATTTCCAATCACCAAAAATATTTTAATTATTTAATGACGAATAACAATTTATATTTTAATACATTTAACATAATTTATGATGCTGGATAATTCAAAGTAACCACAAAGAACTAAATTTAGTAAAAATTCTTTACAATTTTTCTGTAATACTTGTTCTTATACAGGGTGCTCTGAAATTCATGCAACAAAATTTGGTCACAGATTCTTAGGACAAATTTAGAGGACCCGTATTTTTTATTTTTGCCAAGCGGCCCCCTCTTTCGAAGTTACAACCCCCTGAAATCCACCCTTAAGAATAATCTTATTTTTTTATAACTCAGAACTCTGTTGTATGAGAATCACTAAATTTGGTACACAGGGGTTTCATGACGTGGAATCTGATAGTGCTGTTTTTTGGCGGGGAATACCCTTAAGACAATTTTTCCTGGGTCCTCTTGTCTTTGGAGCCAAAAAAATTTGGTAGCATATTTAAATTTCTTAAAAATTATTAGTCCGCTAGAAGGCCATTAAATTTAGAAATTTTTTTGTCTTTTGATACTTTTTTGAAAAACGCAATGTTTTCGAGAAAAATGTCAAAATGTGACCGGATGCATATCGTGATTTGCCATTTTTCGCCATTTCAAAATCATTGTAACGTGTACGTGAATATTACAAGATTTTTTAAAGGACTCTATTTGATGAGAATATTATGAACATTTTTAGAATAAATTTAAAATAGTTCAATATCTTGAAGGTACGCTAAAACTTTGTTGATAAACTCATCAATCATTTTTTTTTTACAAATTTCGCAGAGATTTCAACTATGTACCACCTCCTCAAATCCAGAAGGCCTATGACATGGCCGAATCCGTAGACATCTGCCAGAAGATCCTGTCACCGCACGCCACCGCTCTGCCCCGAACCATCATCCACAAGGCCGCCACCTCCGAGGAGATCTTCCAAAAGATTCTGTCGCCCTACCCTGCTCCCCCGATACACTACGAGACGTCGTTCCAGAACAGGAAGCACGCCTTGATCAAAAATATTAAATTTAAGGTGCCAATTCAGTATACGAACCACTTCAAGGAGGAGGGGACACAGAAGAGGGCGGCTACCCCCTCGGAGGCCGTCGGCGACGGGATCGTGCAGGATTCCAGCAATAACAACACTTACGCGGAGCTTAAACCGGTGGCGATGACGAGTGTTATAGTTAACACCAACGCGAGTCAGCCTAGTAGTATGCATTGGAGGAGGAGAACCTCGCAAAATCTTAATTTGAAGAATTAAAGACTGTGTCTCAAAGACTGGTTATCTTGCTTTTATTTTTGTTATTTTTTAAAGTATTTAGAGTAAGGTTCGTTAATAAACGTGTTATTTATGTCGCCTTGAGTATTTTTTATTTTATCGACCTTGTTAACAATAATTTAAAAAACAACATTAAGAAATAACTGCACTTATCCCTAATTTAACACATTATACTTAATTTGATGGTTAATTTATTATTTCGATAACGGATACTCTTGCGAATTCCACATCAGCATTAATGATAACCGTGATGTTTGCATTGAAGTAGTCTTCTTTACTCACGTGTTTTATACCCCCAAAGTAGTCTAAAACATCTATTTGCACAGGATCTACTTTTGCCACAAAAAATTCATGACCTGTGAAAAACGCCATTAAAATCAAATAGTTTAAATTAATTTTCAAATCTTTACCTGTCGGCCAGGTCTTCATCGCGGGATGTCTGTCAAACAAACTGGTTTGACCAAACGTATACTCTGATGTTTTTTTATCTACCTGAAATTAAACCATTTGAAAAACCCAGAAAGAACTTGAGAAAATATACCTTTATATACTTGCCAGTTATAATAACCTTGGCACATCTCGGGTCCTGTGGGTCATATTGTTGAGTACGGCAGTAGTCTGACTGGGCCAAAGTCGCCATTATAGTCACTCTGCTATCCACCTGTCCAAATATTTGTTTTTATTACTTGCTTGAAAATATAACTTCTAATTATTATCAATAACATTTTAATTTTAAAAGGTTGAATTCGGAGAAGTCAAAAACATTTCATTCAAATTTTTGAGGTTAATTTCCCTTGTGTGAAGTTAGGTAGGCATCTGCGCATCTGTCATAGACCACAAACCTTGAGATCGCATATCTGTTAAATTTGTGATATTTCGCGGTACCTAAAAACTGACAGATTCTTCTAAGGTCCAGCAAGTTTTCATTTGAATTTTATATTAGAGTACATAAAAGTGTGTTTAAGTTATGATGGCCCGAACTAGCTTTGTGAATATAACCATCATATACGTATTGTCACGAAATCATGAAAAACATGTAAGAAAGATGGTCCTTCTACGTTGCTAATTAATTTGTGTTTGTGTTCGTTGGCAGCTCACACAATCTAGATTTTTTTTCTAAATTTTTGGTGTAGGCATTATTGTGAGGTAGGCATTATTGTGGGTAGGTGTAACCTCACAGATACAATAAGCATAGATCGAAAATCTTTGCAAACCGATTTAAGTACATCACATTTATTTTTTTATACATACTTCCTGTTAATTAAATACGTGACAAACATTAGGGATGATTTTTTGAGTGTCTTTATACAAAAAATATTATATAAACATGGTTCCGCAAATCAATAGGTGATTTTTTTTACAGCCTGGATCTATTCCATTTTTATATGTTTATATAATCTTTTTAGATTAAAGTTACTCATAGTATCACCCCTTAAAATTTGTCGACGTACTTTATTAACATACCATCCTACCTCAAGGTCGTGGCCCGAAACATCCATATCAGTCATGTAGAGGTAAGGAATACCAGTGGAGTTAGTTTTAGGACCATCACTTAATGACTTCAAGCTCACAAATGGGTATCCTATGATGTCCTTTTGAGTGGAAATACTAGCTATCGACACCCAGTCTGTAGAATAAAACAAATTACTCACGGGAAAATACTTTCATCCCTTTTGTACAAATGTAAACGTTTCAATACAAAATAAATGTGGTATATCACAACGTGAGACAAAATAAACAGTATGCAAGTACCTGATGAGTGCATGATATATCTTGCCATCAAAGCCGTTTGCCATGGCTCTGGGGGTGATTTTGGAATAATAATGTCGGCTCCACTTATAAATCCAGACAGTGATAGTGTTATCACTACGATTATGTTAATGCTCTAAAATAAATTAAGTAAACTGAAATATTGGTTTAATAAGTAGTTGATAACAAAGGTGTTTCAACTCTGAACAATAAAAAAATAATTATCTATTTAAACATTTTAAATATCTGTACCCAAAAAGGATTATCGGTCAAGTCATACATATTTATAAATATCTGGTTAATTATTATTGACGTACGGAGTATGTGTTTAAATGAGGAAGCACAAATGGTATGTGATGCTTTTCGTTACTCCATATTTCGGAAATTTGTTAAGTTCATTTCATTCGTACTAATGGCATTTCAAGGACTACTTTATAAAATATCCAGTGGCGTCGAAATTCTGACGTACTCAATGACGGTATCCCCCGGTATCTCCGCTACAGGTTGATATAATTGCAATCAAATTCAGTGAATAAAAACTTTTATTTATTAATCGCGATTGGAACTGTTATAAAAAAATCAAGATTTTATATATTGAAATCAAACAATCTCTTCTGTTTCAAGTAACATTTTTGCGATTACTGTGTAAAAACATTACAACACATTAAAATCTTTTTTTAGTTCACAATTATCACTTATAAATATAAACACACAATCTAACGACGAAACATCTATATTTACCAGATAAGTGATCACGTACAATTTAATTAGAAAATAGTAAATGGTAGGTATTAATAAAATTTGTTTGCTGCGACAAGCGCATAAAAATGCAACGAATATCTGTTTTTTCCCGACCGTTACGATTATAAGAAAAAACGAATATTATAAGAAGAAATATAATAAAAAATTTATCTTTATTTTATTGACTATTGCATCACGTAAAATTGCATCTAGAAAAGTAATACGTTTGTATCAATTGAGTGAGCAAACACCTTTTCTGTAGAACGAGGCAACGAGACGCGGTGAAATCATCATTTAAAGGGATAATTAACTAAAAATAACATGCAGTAATTACATAAAATATGCGGTTACTTACGGCCATCCTGACGGTGCTGTTCTTTCCAAACTGGTAACCAAAGACTAAACCAACTGCTGATACCATTAAACAGCGGGCTGTGATTGCTCGCAACGAATCAGAGGTCAGGAAGACAAGGGAATCAAAATAAATAAATATTTAATTATGTTCGCATTACGCTCTATATGTATATACCTTTTATTGAAACGGATTGCTCAATCGAATTTTTGTTTTAACAAAAATATATCGCATTAATGGTTGAAGTCGCGTAGAAATAGATTTTGATCTTTTCTGTGTAAGTTTAATAGATTTTTTAATCTCCTCTATACAGGGAGGTCGATGATTTAGTGCAGACAGATAAGAATTTTCCGGGAGCAAATTTGCAATTATAATTTTAGTAGGTATAGATAGCTTTCAAGATGTACACCAGGATATCATAAACAAGAAGGGATACAGAATTAGTTGAATTTTCTTGTTTTTTCCAACTTTTTTATTGGTGAAATTTAATATAAAGCGTTTACCAAATCTATTGAAAATCAAAATTTTCATTTGTTTTTAATGGAATTATAAATTATGAGTGACATCCAAGTGACCCTTTTTAATTTTAACTTTTCACGGTACCTATACAATCATTTTAAATCGCCATCGGCCTGATAACAGTTTACAAATTATTGATTATTGACTCAATAATTTAAATATTCACAAAGATGGCCAACAAATTTTATTAAAACGACCATTAAAAGTACCAAATGTCAACATGCGATTATTGTAAAAGTATAAAATTTTGTCAAAATGTAAGATTTTTGACTCCAGGCGATTCCGCGGCGTTTTTGCGATAGTGTTTACATTAGTTTTCCAAGTGTAAAAAATGGCTTACGTGTATACTCGTAGCAACTCGGTAGTTGATGGATATCGGTTTAATTTATAGTGAAGTAAGTTATGGTGAAGCAAGACAACATTTGTGTTAGTTCGTAGAAACTGGGTAAGACGAACCCAAATATGTTTACACGTCGATGGGCAAAATTTTGAACAGTTGTTAAAACCACAAATTTTATTAATTAATAATAACAACAGCGGCAAAAGCAGTTAAATTTGCTGATATGAAATAGGTGTTACAACATAGGTGTTGTCCGTACATTTTTTATTTCACATTGCCTCCGAGTCGGTCGCCGATTTGTAAGATTCCCCTGTACATTCAAAATTTTTGTTTTGGATAAGTTCTGAATCACCCTGTAAATGCAGAGAATTTAAGCTCAAAATAGTTATCTCATAAAATGTAACTGGAAGAGGCAGCAACCTCTAGTTGATGCTTCAGAAGTTTTTGTCGCAAATACCTTGTTGGATACAATTTGAAAAAAATATACAATATACAGGGTAGGAAAGTACCGATGGTCTATCTGAAGTTACGTGAGAGCGATAAAGTAAGCCATAGAAATCCATGCGATAGAGAAGAATAGCTAGAATGAAGGCGTCTCATAGTCACCGCCCGTTTCGCCCTTCCACAAATAAGATCCATTTCTTATTCTATCACATGGATTTCTATGGCTTACTTTATCGCTCTCGCGTAACTTCTGATAGACCATCGGTACTTTCCTACACTGTATATAAGCAGTGTACGAATATGTTTTAAAAAAATCAAGATATCGAGATGCGGTTTTCACCATTCAATTTTTCTTGAAAATTCGGAAAATATGGCAAACCCCCAGTGTCAAATTTGGCCTACCCAGTATATACCAAGTGATGCATTTCAAATGGAACACTGAAAAAAATGTGTTTATTGTTAATTCCGTTTTTTTTTTTAAAAATAGAGCTTAAAAAATTCTGTTGCATCATATACGAATTCATTTTCAGTTGTCAAAGCCTCCTTTTTATTTTTCTCGATAGTTTCAGGAAGTTTTGTGAAAAAATATCCATTACTGATTGTAAAATTAATTTGACATTAAAAAAATAAATAAAATAAACACAGAATGCTTGCTAATCTGTTTTTCTTAAAAATGCAGTTCCAAATAATGAAAAAAGAAATTTAATATTAGGGTTCAATTTTTGTGAATATAAATGTTCATGGCTTACCATTAATTATTTCTACGTTTTTTTGTTATTCGTAATTATGACTGATTGATCCAACAAAAAAAAATATTGTTTCATTAGGAACACAGCACATATTTAGTAAAAATATGTTAGTGATCCTTTATTTACGAATTCATAGGTTAATCGGTAATTTTTCAATGAGCAATAAATATTTTTTGGTACAAATTATATTGTAAAGGTACCTACATAATCTAGTGGTGTAGTCAAATTTTAAATAAAAAATTAAAAATAGGCTTTGATAACTGAAAATAAATTCAATCTATGTGTTTTTAATAAATTTTTTAAGCTTCTCTTCAAAGTAAATATCTTTTTTACAAGGGTGTTTCCATTTGCAATGGGCCGCAAGACTGTATATCAAATTTCATTATATACTGCTCGTAGTAATAAAAAACTACAAGTTTGCAGTTTTCTTCCGAGAATGATTCTAGTTAAGAAGATCGTGCATATACTTTAAGTGACCACCCTGTATCCTCAAATCAACAAAATTTTCTGATTCTCCATCGGCCTGGAGCACTTTCTATACACTTTTCTTTTGTTTTCAATAGTAAGTAAATAAGTCGCAATAAATTGAAACAGAAATGCACATTCCGAACAAAATTGGAGGTAGGTGTGTTGTTATACCAAAACAATAGCAGTGGTAAACAATAGATAGACACTTCGGGACAATAATATTTATGTTTACATTTAGCATTGGAGATAATCCTTAAGTGTTTTCAAAATTTCTACGTGGTATGGCATTAAAAATCAAGTTTTAGGTTTTTATCTACCCTAAAAATTGATAGATAAGGATGCAAAAATTTATTTAGCTTATTATGAGCGACGTGTGCAATGTAAACATAAATAAAGATATAAAATTAGGGTTTCTAAATGTGAAAAGCGTTTGTATTTAAATATTTATAGAGGGTGAATCAATTTATACATATATATTTATATATTCATTAACAGAATAAGTAAAAAAAGGAAACCTATTAAACCCATTAAATAAACCCTCTAGTAAGGCGCATGTCTGCAAACTGTAACTTACTTCGCTATGATTTTTTTAGGTGTAAATTAAAAAAATGTGCTAGTGATTTTGTTCACTCCGTACGAGATTTTATAAAAATTCATTTATTTTTAAATATATACAGGGTGTATCACGAAATTAGTCTAGATTTTACCGTAGAATTAAAAAATGCAAAAATATACAGTGTTCCATTTGAAATAACAGAGTTGATGACGACTTCCGGTATAACCGGAAGTGCGAGAAAGTTGACACTACTTTCATTGAATAGATCTTTTTCATAAACCCTTGTATACAAATTTTCAGATTTTAATTTTCTTCGTGATACACCCTGTATAGAAATAATTGAAATGTAAGCAGGACTTCTGCTACATTTTCATTTTTTTTCAATTATTTAATTTTCCTTCTCTGTAAGATTTGTTAAAAGCGTATTCCAAATGAATGTAAGTTGATAAAGTGGTAAAAACCAATGGGTAAAGGTTATGAACATTTTTATAAAGATATTTCAATTTTCTTTGATGTACCTATCGTCTAAAAGGATGTTTATACATATTTTATTTTCGTCTTCCAGTTTCAATAAAAACTTAGAATTTAAGAAATATGTGTAATAACGGCAACACTGCATACCTGATCTACGTTATGCGTAAATGCCATTGTAGGGTAAAAAGTAAATTTTGGAATTGAATTTAGCGCTCTCGAATTAATCTGAGGATTTTTTCAGATTTCAGACAAAATTTTCAACCAAAAATTTTCCTCCATAGAAAATTACAAAAAAAAAATTTTCAAAATAAATAATAACATTCAAACATACATATTTCGACAAGTTAGTTTTTCTTTAGGTTCTATAGTTTAACAAAAAAAATTGAAAAAAGTAGAATTACACATATAATTTTTCATAATTTATTTATCTGTTTACGTACTTATTTCTTACAATTTAGGAACTTTGATTATAAAAATGTATATTTAATATATTTAAACATAGATAAAAACGCGATTATAACAAACGTATACTTAAATAGTGTATTTTATTTGTCACTGAATATTTAAATCAAACTAGTGACGTCAGCGCTCAAGTAAGCGTCCTTTGAGATCTCTTTCACTGGTCCGTGGTGCCCAAGGAGCCTTATCAGAATAGGGTCTACCTTTGCTACGTAGAATCCATGATCTGCAAAGTATATTAACTTAATGAACTATTCAACATCACGTACATCGTTGAAGATCATAAATGCCATAATTATTTTATAAAATCCTGTCAAAATCGATAAATGATCGCAAATATTATTAAAATTAGTACATGAAAAACCCGTACCTTCTGGCCAGCTCTTCATCTCGGGGTGCTTTTCCAGCAACGCATTTCTGCCGAAAACATACTCTGGCGTTGATTTTTCCAACTGAAACGATAGCATATCAAAAACTGCCCTGCGAGGAAGGGTAAAAAATACCTACCTTGACGATTTTGCCAATGATGAACACCTTGGGACAGATGGGGTTCTGCTGGTCGATGTTTTTCTTCTTGCAATAATCAGTTTGGGCAAGCGACGCCATTATGGTGACTCTGTCGTCTTTCTGTCAAATATTTTTAGAAAATAAAGCTTCGTATCAACGTATATCTGTACAATTTTCAACTGTTTTCGCAGTTGTAAGAAAAACAGTTCTTAAAAAGCGGAAAAAATCCCTTTTATTTCGTTCTGGTCTTTATCTAAATGTTACAGAATTAGAAACACGAATAAAATATTGAATATTTGTAAAATAAAATAAAAAAGATAAAAAGAACAAGATATAATAATAATAAAAATAATTTTAAATAAATGCACAAAAGCACTGAACAATCTATGCAATTTTGAAAATTAAAAAAATTTAGGTACCTAACAAACCAATCATATAGTATAATAATAAATTATTTCTTCATATATTTTGCAAAAAGGACTTACCTCGAGGTCTTTACTTGTAGTTTCCCAATCGGTCAGGTAGAGGTAAGCTATACCCGAAGGTTTGCCTTTAGGCCCATCACTGGTTGATTTCAAGCTCACGTATGGATATCCAGTGTAGCCTTTTAGAGACGAGATGGTTGCCAGTGACACCCATTCTGCGAAAGGAAGGAATATTAAAAAATAGATACGATATATTTTCTTTTTAATATGACAAATAAACTGAATTTCCGAAAGTATATACAGGGTGTTAGAAGTTTCATTGCCTTAATTTTAACAAACGGTAGAATACAATAAAATAAACAAAAAAGCCATATATGACATGGGTCCTAAACTCAACCATTTCCGAGAAAAAAAATATCAAAGTTTCCAACTTGATGTAATGATGTGTCGATTAATTAAGGAATTTTGACATAACTGCGAGCATAGAATACCATAAAATACAATGTTTTTCACTATTTCGGACTTATTATGCTTAATTCGAAAAAGTAATTAGCGTTGTAATAAATTTAAAATTCGATAAAATTCATATGGAGCAATGTGACAACGGGGCAACGGATAACACGAGGTACTAAGTTGTCCAGCAATACGCAATTCAGTAGGTATCTGGAATTGGACCGTGTCGGAGTGTTTTTGCGTACCACTACTTCGTTTTATTGAGCTGTTTTCCAGCGAGAGCGCGAAAATTGGATTCGAAGGTGTCGTGTGCGTGCATTGAAAATGGTGGTGGACATTTTGAGCATATGTTGCAGTTTGTTTTGTATTTGTGCGTTTAAAAATTACTGAATTTTGCTTTTCTGTAAGTACCTGAATTATTTTTAGTACGTATGATTATTTGGAGGACGTGTATCTTTGGGTACTTCAAGTACATAAGTTTCTGTTTTAAGAGATTCATAATTACTAAAATTCGAGGTAAAATTTAAGCACAACACTATCTTCGTACTACAAAATCGTTACTACATTTTATTTTATTTATTTAAAAACTGGAAAACAATTGTCTTGAAATTTACTAAATGTTTCACAAAATAGCTGTTTACATTTTTTCCGTAGAACAAATCTGCCGCGTGTACATGTGATGTGCATCACCAGGTTAAGCGCTGTTGTCACGTTGTGATGAAACTCCCCAATATTAATACTCGCCAATATTTTGAAAACTGTTAATCTTATAACGCCCCTATAACATACAACTTTTTTGTTCATGTATGATTGCTCTATATCATGTTGAAGGAATGTCAATCAAACTTCTCACACCCTGTAGAGTGTTCTGTTTTAAATAGCAAAGTTCTTTTTTAATGTTCAGTAATGGTGTCTTTATTAGTTTTAAGAAGAAAACTCGTGTGGGTGAAATATAGCATAGAGTAGCTTTTTCCCGCAATATCATCTTGTTTATGTAATTAGATAACTTTTGGATACCTACCTAAAGTTTTTCTGGTATCAAACTACATTTGATAAGATTATTTTTAGATTTTTTTAAATATATTTAAATTAGTTCAATATATTTAAAATAAAATAATAACCTACAAAGTGCGTCATATCTTGTTACTCATGAGTGATGTCAGGTTTTGGGTTTTTTCCCTTGTTCTAGGGACAATATTCCAAGTTCGTGAAACATGTGGTGAAACTAAGAAAATAGGGAAATTTAGATGACATGAAGGAATTTTGTGTAAAACAGGAAATTTCGGACTATTATTTTTTTGTTTTTTGGAAGAAAATTATATGTAGGTATATTATAATATAATTTTTTTTAATAGCCTTCTATTTAATATAATATAATAATTCTTTTTTTCAGAAAACAATTCACTTGATTAAGTTTCACGATTTTGACACTCTTTTATAAGCTACGCTATGTTTATGACATCGTAGCTTATAAATTCAATGCAATGTTGGCACTGGCAATAGCGAAATGATTTTTTTTATTTAATTTTGTTTTGAAAACAGTTTTTAAATAAAAATCGTGAATCATCTATAAAATTCATTGAAGCTGAACAAAGCGTATCTAATTTCAACAATTTCTTCCCAAATCTACTTTATTTTGGTTAGTTCGACTTAATTCATGATTGACATCAACATATTGCTTTGTATGTACGTACGTAGGTAATGGCAGAAAACACTAAGTATTAATTTGTAGATACTATTATCATATTAGGCGCAACAAACTTTTTTCAATTTAGTATTAACTTTTTATTTTATTTAATTTAATTCTATACGGGTCCGGTAGTTGTATCCCACAATATTAGTTAAGAAAAATCGTTTTTGTAAAATATGTGTACTGTACACCTTTGTTTACAAACAAAAGTTATAGGTCAAGACCCTACCCACATAAGTCAGTGTATTCGTAATAAAATTTCCCCCGATTTGTTTAATTATTGCGGTTTCTTATCGGAAAAAGGTCGGGAAATGTTTTGAAACTTGCAACAAAAGATACTACTGATGGGAATTACGCTATTTCTAGGAACACCACAGTGGTCACAGCTGGTAACTGTAATACTTGGAATACTAATGTATTCTTCTTCTAAGAACAAAAGTTAATATGTACATATTTCAATACCTGCTTTGTGTATGACGTATCTCGCCAGCAGGGCTGGATCTGAAGGCAACACATCGTCTGCTGCATTTATATATCCAACTGCACACAAGGATAGCGTCGCTATTACTATTAGTTTGGCACTCTAAAATATACAGAAATTTTAAAATAATATGGGCATTCGACATTCGTAAATATGTAGTTACTTAATTTACACTCCTGAAAGACCCCATAAATAAGTAAAATGTATACAGGGTACGACAAAGACATTGCGACAAACCTTTAAAGCTGATTTCTTTTATTAAAACAAATGAAAACAAAGGAAACGGTGAGTTTATGATGGATTACTCAAGAATCATTGAAGATATACACCTGATGCAGGTAGGTACAAATATTTCACAGTATCTACCTTCAACCTTCAAATAAAATATAAACTAAAAAGAACCACCGGCGTCGAAATAAGGGATTAACAATTCATATGACTATCACCGTTTTATAATTATATGTATCTACGAAAAATCTGAAATAGCACAAATCTTTTTGACATTGACAGTTCTCTTGTTCTTTTGTTTGTTGACAAAATCAAAAAGCATGAACGTGTGTCGTATTGTGGTAGTTACACCCTGTATAAAAAGAGTTAATTAATTTGTAACGATTGGACAACAGTAACTAACTTCTGAATACGCGCCGCGTAAATATTTCAATAAAGTTCGTGATATGGAATGTAGGTATGTAATAAAATGTTTGCAATTTAAACAACTTTTTTTGATAACGTTTCTATGAAAATGCCAATTCTAACAGTGTAAAAACATTCCTAAATGTATTATTGAATATTTAAAAACAAAGTTGAATTTGAAATTTAAACAAAAATTATTTTTGTGGTAAGAGCAAACTTAACAAAAAATATTTAACTAAACTATGTAGGTATTATTAAAAAACTATTGTTTATTAAAAAATACAAAAGGTACGTGGTACAAAATCACAATTAAAGAATAAAATAATGCACATAAATATAAATTATGAGATTACTTACGATCATGTTGAAATATTTTTCTTCTCGTAGATTGAGATTCACTGTTTTCCCAGGTTAAAGAAGAATTAGCAACTGATTAATCCAAGTTGGGAGCTTAATATATACCTGTAGTGGGGGTTCAATTCAATATACGACGCAGCGCACATAATCTTGAAAAACATTTCTTAATTTTCCGTATTTGTTGCTATAAACACAGTTCTCCCCTCCTTCCCCATTTTAAATCACAGATTTCAGAATTGTGGAAATGCTGACTAAGCATTCAGTTGCATTAAGTTATTGGGAAAATTACATATATCAGTTGTTTCTTGGAGGTGATATAAGGACAAATTTAAATTAAAAACCGCCATTTGTATTGTTTTATGGTTCAAATAAAAAAGAACTTACCTTGACGACCTCACATCTCAAGAACTTGAAGTTGTTCAGTAGCAAATACATTGAATTCTTGGTATAATAATATATGCTTGAAATTATTATATTTTTTGATGTTGCAACGAGCATTTTTTCATTTTTCAAAGAAACGAAAAACTAGTACCTGTCTAACTGGTTTATATGAAAAATAGAAGCATAATTTTAATGTTAGAATTGTGACGTAAAAAATAGGGGTCAGTAAACTTTTTGTACTAAATACCAGTTTCTACAGATCAATAATATTCATATTAATATATACAAGGCCTGAAATGCTTGGAAAAAATTAAATGGTGGAATAGTCAATTTTATGGAGCATGTTTTAGAAAAATATTCATAACTTAAATTAACCTTCTTTAAATGTTACAGCCACTTAGGTGAGGGTAGGTATGTTTTATCAACATTTCTTAAAAACTGCTGTTAGCAAAATTAATTTTGATATGGATAATAAAGTGTCGAACCTAAACAGATTATGATCCTTTGTCAAACAGTCCTGAGTACAAGGTGTCCCACCAGGAACTGCCACTATCCATATCTATGATCCATATCTCGGAAAGTACTGATCCGATAAATCTAAAAATTTGGCAACCTAGCAAAAGCAGTAGGGCCAATACAGCTAAAATATTTAGAACTTTATCGTTCTTTAAACCCCCTTAAACAATGTTTTAGCTCAAAAACATTTTTTGTGTCCATAATATACAAATCAATTTTTTTTATTCTTATTTTTAGAGAAACTAAAAGAAAAAAAATATTTTTAACACTATTCATTTTGAACATTTTTATATCTTGGTAAACTATTTTTTACATTTTTTTTTAACAAGGCTTGAATTTTTCTTTCTGTAATGCCTAATTATAGCTGCTGTTATATAAAATCGAACAATGATTCCTCTATTTCATTTTCCCAACTGTACACCTGTATTTTTTGTAGATATTTTGGTTTTATTGACAAAGGCGTAATAATAGTCCAGTTTTTGAAGCAAAAATTTTTTTAGCACTATTTGAAATTGTTGGGTAGCGAATACAATTCTTGATAACAATATATGATCGAAATTAAACATTTTTTTTGGATGTTGCAACAACGAAAAACTAGCACGTACCCAATTGGTGGATATGAAAAATAAAAACAGTTGTTTGATATAAAAAACAAGGGTCACTAAACTTTTATTGTGAATATCAGTTTTTATTAATCAATGTTTCAGATGTACAGGGTGTCCCTGATATGCTTGGAAAGTGAAATGGTGGAATAGTTGTTTTTTTTTGTTATAATTTTCCCATTCGAGCTCTCTTTAAAATGTTACAGCTTCATTTAGGTGAAGGTAAAAATATTTTTTCAATATTTGTCAAAAGCTGCAGTTAAAAAAATTAATTTCGGTATGGAACATAGTACAGCTACGAACAATAAAAAGTCCTCTAATTGTCATCAAATTAGATTGAACAACGATTCTACCATTTCATTTTTCACTACATCTGTATTTTACTGTACATTTTTTTGGTTTCATTGACAAGAACGTAAATAATAGCCCATTCCTTGAAGTAAAATACTTTATTAGCACTTTAGCAAACTAACAGGTAAATCCTGCAACAATGACGTTACCACAACGAACAGCATTGTATATGGAACTGTCACGAATATATAAAAAATTAAAATAAACACTTTTTTTTATACAACAAACTTTATGAGATCTTTTAAAGTATACTCTTAAAGTTAACAATAATTATCTAACATATAATCTTGATAGCACAGCGATTTTTTAATAACAATTCCATAACATACCTCCTATTTTAACAATGCTCTTAAAAATATGGCCACGGAAATGTTATAAATATCAGTTTGTTGGGCCGTTTCGTATTCCTAGGGTGCACCAGGAAATGAGTACGACAGCTGTCAATTTTTACTTGAAAGATATATTATCGGCAGGAGACAATGAATTGTTTGTAGCGAACCGGGTTTCGTGGTACACCCTGTACGTCTAACTGGGGTATCTGCTGGATTTGGAATAGTACACAAATTCTAATTGCTAGGAAGTACTCGAGATAAAAGAAATGTTTAATTAGTAATGGGGAAAGCCGGTGTAATTTGAAGTAAATATTTTTCCTTTTGTTTGCGAAGATAATTTAAGATACCTACTTTTTATATTTTTATTATTATAATGCCAAAACATGTTATGCGGCTAGGTCACAGGAGGGGACTTTTATGAGATCTTGTGGCACTTGGATGTTGAGAAATTTAGACAGAGATTACGACTAATTAAATTTTTTTATTTCATTGGGTATTTCTACCACACCGAAAAGAAATAGCAATTTAAATAAATAGCTCTTTCTGCCAATCAGTTGGTTTGATGAACTTAGTATTTAAAGAAGCAACCCCTTGACTTTCTTTTGGCGCAAGGAGATACAGATTTAAAACTTAATTTTCTTGCAGTGTATCAGACAATCAAATAAAATAAAAAAAAACTTACAAAAAATGTCACAAATAAATAAGTAGAGTGCAAAAAATTTAGAGGCTTTAAAACACAAAAGTAAAATAATTTTTTCTTATGGACCATGAGCCTGTCGTCTTTTGTTTTTGAGATACAGGACGTCAAAAACGTTTAGAATAAAATTTTAACCGTATCTTCTCTAAAAATACTGATTTCATGAAAATTTTGTATAAAAGTTTTTGAGGGGGCTAAATACATCAATGTTACTGCTTTACTATTTGCTTGAGGTCACTAGCTACTGTTTCTTCCAATGACATTTTATGACATATTTTTAAGGTTAGGTTTTTAGATCTAGTAAGACCTCAGACTAATTACTCTGAAAGTAAGACCATCGATTTGACAGTACACTAAGGATGGAATATAGTGCTAAAATTTGATTCTATGAAATTAATTTTAATGTCTTGTATCTCGAAAACAAAACACGATAGTCCACAGGAAAAATTCGGTTTATTTTTCATGTTGTATTTTATTGCATTAATTTTCGCAACAATTTGTACATTTTTTAGAATTGCAGTATTTCGTATTAAGCGAAATCGATGTCAAATTAGAAGTAAACTTTTCATTGTATCTATTCCAAAAATGTGTGCATCCAGCAAATGCAAAATGTTCTTAAACAGCTAGTAAAATGGAAATAAAGACCTACGCTACAAAAAGAATAATACAATTTTACATGATATGAGAGCAAGAGACTAGAAATCATCAAAGAATTATCGTTCGACAATACGGTGCAATCCCTGCGTACACCTACGTATATGAGGTGAGGACAAGTTTTTTTTCTGCATAGTTTAGACACTAGGGTGTGTTTGTTTAATTTGGTGTACACGGAAATTACATTAACTGTTCTCTATTAAATAAAATGAGGAAGATTTTGGTTTTTGTGCGTTAGTTTCATGTAAAAAATTTTAAAATCAATTAAATCAATAATTATTATAAACATACATTAAAATTCAGACACACAGCTTGAAAAACAGAAATTTAAAAAATTACTAACATGTAAACGAGTCAAAAAAATAATACCAACTAAAAATAGATTTCCAGCTACCAACCCAACGACAAAAATGATTAATAATAAGTAAGACACATACCAAATTAATTTAAAAAAGAATAAATAAGTGTTTAAATTGGATGCATTGTTCGTTTTAATTTTAAAGCAGTCCAAGTCCTGGCAGATGCTAACTGGGAAAAAATTTAAAGTGTTTCCTGAAAGCTATGTGCCTGACGTACAGCAACAGGTAAAAATATTATCCATATATACCTAGTAGACTATCAAACAGAAGAAAGTAAGGCGAACCTTGCAGAAAACGTTTTCGTTACAAATTTATTGCACAGCCATTGAAAAAACATTTTACACAGAGTGCCAACTCCGTCAAGTCGCAGATATTTGGGTTGACGACAGAGCCTTTAAAATATTCATACCTGTAACTTGACGTGGTTAAACTAAAAAGCATCTCAGTCTGAATAGATTTTTCACTACATTTAAGATGCACAAGGTTTTCTGCAAAATCAGCGACAAAATTACACATTTACCTCTACAATTCTCTGTAAAAAAGGGCTACGCAGCGCTCTTGAACAACACAGTACGCAATATCAAGAAATATTTGAGCCGAATTTGCAAACTAGTCTAGTTATGAGAAAAAATCGCTGTAATGTGATTTCACAAAAATTTACGTCTTACAAAATACAAACTAAACTAATACCACCAGTTTCGAAAGCGAAATGAAGACTTTAAACTGAGTATTTTCTAGGTTATGTTGCCCCGGATGAGTAGCCCAATTTTATTTTAAGAATAAAGCCTAAAAGATCGCGATAATAAAAAAACTAACTGTAAAAACAAAGACCTACTCACAGTCCACAGAAATCACAAAGTTTCATCCAAACTCAACCGGTAATAGTAAGGGGTGGGTGTTTCGTGAACATACGAGAACATCACATGGCACGGTACGGCCCCTGCATCTTCAGATACTGGATCACCAGCGACGGTCCTCCGGCAACTATCTCTGCGGGGATCTGCGACAGGGGGCAATTCTCGATGCTCATTATCTGGAGGTTGGAGCACAGCGCCAGCTCGAACGGGAGATTGTGCAACGTCGGATTGTCGTTTATGTATAGCGACTCCAAATTCTCCAAAGTTCCGATCTCTTCGGGAAGGTACGACAGATTGTTCTCTCCTATGCTTAGAAATATCAGGTTGGTGAGGTGGCCGATGGCCCGGGGTAAACTAGTGAGTTGGTTGGACTGGACGATGAGTCTCTGAAGTTCTCTTAGGAAGCCGACTTCATTCGGTAGCTGCTCTAAGCGGTTTTCCTCTAAGTCCAAGACCCGCAATTTGCGAAGATTCCCAATACTGGGAGGGATTCTCCGTAACAAGTTATTGGACAGTATTAATACCTCGAGACTCTGCAAGCACTGGATATCGTCAGGGAGCTTGCTAAGCTGGTTGGTGCCTAGGTTCAGCTCTACCATGTTAGTCCAAGTGCCGACATCTAGTGGTAGCGATGTCAATTGGTTCTCTTTCATGTTTAATTTCGTCAAATGTTTCGCACGAGAAAAAATGCCATATGGAATTTTGTCTATTTGGTTGTGTTCTAAATTGATGGAATCGACGTTTGTGAATTGAGACGGCCCACCTGAAGGATATGCAGAGAAGTAATTCCTCGATAAAGTTATGCTTGTCAGTTCGCTTAAGCTGGACAACAAACCCTCGGGTAGCTGTGAGATGGCATTACCTTCAACGTTAAATTCATCCATGTGCTTGCAGTTACTTAAAGACGTGGGAATCTGCGTCAACCTATTGTACCTCAAGCCTAACCTGGTGAGTTGCTGGAGATGGCCGATGGAGTCTGGGATGTCCAGTAACTCGTTATGCTGCAAATCTAGGGTGGACAGGTTGACACACTGCCCGATCTCCTCAGGTAGGTGCTCCAAGTGGTTATGAGACACGTCAAAGGTTAACAGGTTAATTAACTGGCCTATTCCTGCAGGTAACTCTTTAATTTTATTCTCTCTTAAACTGAGCATTGTCAGAGAGGTTAAGAACCTGATTTCCTCCCCCACGTACCTTATCCTGTTGAAGCGTAAAAACAGTGTCGTAAGTGAGGTTAATGTATATACTACATCGGGGATATCGTTCAGTTTGTTGTGTCTCAAATCTAAGACTTTGAGTGAACGTAAGTTTTCCAAAGAATCAGGTAAACTAGTGAGTGAATTTTCGCTTAAAGCCAATGTTTGGAGGCTGGTAAGACAACCAATTTCCGCAGGCAGATAAACCAATTTGTTGCCATACAAATACAGTTCCGAGAGGTGGTGTAAATCCCTTACTGTCGGAGGCAGTAAGGTGATGTTGGACTTGCTCAAATCGAGACGCTTTAAGCCCTCGTCTCGGCATCTCAGGAATTCCTTGGATACATCAAGGTCAGCCTGGATGGGCTGTTTGTTCTTCTTAGCTGTGGGTTTGAGTTTGTTGGATTCAGGGTGTTTTACTGTGACAACCTTGGGCCTGGACACGTCTCCGCCCAGGGATCCGGAAGAAAACTTTTTCTGCTTGGCGTGCTCCAGGACTCCCGACGACTCGGCTTCTGGCATTTCTGGATCTAGCAAATAACCGCCGCTACCAGAACCAGGTTGGGTCATTACGTTATTTTTAGCCTAATTATGTGACTAATCTAATTTGCCATGACTGCTCGAGATTCGTCTCTTGTTTACAACCTTCCAGGCACCTCCTTCGTCTGTCACTTGCGGTCTACTCGATTTATAAACATTTTCAGCTTATCCATCGGCCCTTCTCTCACGGTATACTGGATTATGGCGGCCCTAACACGAATTTCACGACTTTGCACAAACCGAATTTTCTATCCGTCTAAGTAAATGCACAACTCAAGGCCACACATACACCAAGACAGGTGCAATCACAAGTGCAACAGACTACGATGGAAGAACAAAAATGCCCCCGCCCATAAACACCAGCTCGGAACACAACCAATTATTCCTCTGTGCTCCTAAGCAGGTGCTGCCATCTCCCAGGTTACGGTCAACTATATAATTAAATGTATTCTTATATTCACTTTTTCATATATTTATTAATTACTTTAATAATTCTTTTGTCATTAACAAAATTTGGTGAATATAGTTAATACATTTCCCTAATCTAATAAGTTTTCTGGTATTAGGTGTATAAATTTTGCATACTCTGGAGCTATTACATTTTTTTTATGGTAATATTTTTATATATGGATGCTACATTTAATTAATATATACATTTATGGATAACCTTTTTTATTTTCTTTACGGAGATGTATCATTTGCAGGTGCATTTAAAAATTATCAATATTTTATTATTTTAACATAAACATAAATTTTGCATAGGTCATGTTAACGTCACAGCTAATGTTATAATAACAAAAAATAATAATAATAATTATTATTATTGTGACAGTCGATGCAGAATCTTAATTATGCAAGACCTAAAAGTTTCTGATAATAGTTATTTAAAAAAGAAAAAAATGGAGTCTAGTGAACTACGACAGTTAAAAAATAACTAAAGGCGTCGTTTAACAGCGCGTGTAGTTTAGCAAATATTTTTATAATTTAGGTACCCAACTTTATACTTGTTACCATTTTTTATATTTATTTTCATAGTGAGTAGGTATCCTTATATATCAATCATATGAATCACCCTGTATGGAGAGATAAAATGTCAGTGTACATATAACTACAAAATTATTGTAGGAGTAGGAAACAATTTTAAAAACATATCTTAATACCTTGTGATACCTATTTGGCGTTCTTTAAAACGATTTTTTATCTTATCACAGGTATTAAATAGGTAAATAATCTTTAGTTAAAATACCACTATTGCTCTCTAGGTAGATTGTATTTTCAAAAAATAACAAGTATCTAAAACAATATGAAATAAATTATACAAAGATAAGTTGACTATCATATTATAGGTACCTACCTATCTTTTACTAAAAAATATTATAAATACGAATGCCTAGGTAGATGTGTAAATAATAGGAATTAAAAATTTTAAAATTAATTTTCTTTTTATTTTGTTGGCACCTCTAAGAAATTAAGTCCATTTGTACAGATCCAATCTACTTAAATTCTAGGGACATGAATAGATAATCAATAAATAAAGATTTTGACGATTTTGTTTTAATCTTCTTAAAACAATTCGAAATATTTTACTTTCATAAATGACTAGGACTCGTGATTGGTAGAATTCGCCATTTAGCAAGAGAATTAAGTTCTATGAGTTGGCACCACTGAGCGAGCAGGGCAGCCGCTCTAGGGTTTTTTAGTTTACTAGTTGCGGGAGTGGTGCTGTTGCGAGTGGTGATGGTCCGTAGACGTTGTTAAAACCCGTGTTTTGTTTAAAAATGTATATAAAGTGACAAATGGAGTGTATTAGTGTGTGTTAGTTTTACAATTATGAGTGAGGTTTTGAGTTAGCCGAAATGTTTCGTTGTATACCGATTTTCAAAGGCTGCAACAGACAAGTGGAGTTTGTTGATAAGAGGCACTGTTCTTTACCCAATGTTCCCGAGGATATTTTACGCTATTCCAGGAGTCTGGAGGAACTCCTCCTAGACGCTAACCACATTCGCGATCTTCCAAAGGTATTGCGATAGAACTATCGAAAAACGCTGATGTTTTAATTGTTTCTTTCGATTTCAGAACTTCTTTCGCTTGCACCGACTTAGAAAATTGGGACTTAGTGATAATGAAATCCACAGGCTACCCCCTGACATCCAGAATTTCGAGCACCTCGTCGAGCTCGACGTGTCTAGAAATGGTAAGTCTTTAAAGCACGCATAATATCTCGCGAAAAAGAAGCTGGCTCGACCGGTGAGAAGAACCGGTTCTCAGGTGCATTTAAACTGTCACAAATGTCACTTAATTGTTGCCATCACGTCCATATACCTTCGCGAAAGTAAAAGCCTCACTTGTTTCTTTGTTTTGATAAAAAACTCCGCTTTAAAAGCGCATAAATCATTCAAAATTAAACGATTAGATCATCAATTACTGGCAATGTTTATCAAATAAAGTTTCCCAGCGATTTTTTTTTAAGTAGACGGCACTAATCTTATCTTAACAAAAATATTCATGTCACCTCTGCTAGGTAAGCTTTCTCGGAACGATGCGTAATTGTTTCGAAATATAAGGGCACCAAATGGAAGCGGAACAGGACGTGTTAAAATTCAGCAACCGTTTCGCCGAACCAGAAATAGTACATGAATAAGTTATAAATATTATTCTTTTGTGTTGAATAGGTGTGTACAATAGAGAAAAGCGTTTGTGCAGTACGTTTTTTATCTGGCCTGTCGTTCGCACCTCACTTTCATCACGTCATAACGTAAATAGAGTCGGCTGATAGGAATGTAATACATCTCCACCCACTTTCCGAGATTATCGCGGCATACACTGTGTGAATAAGCGACAATGCCGCTGCGGGAAGCGTAATTAGTTATTGTTTATTCCCCTTGTTGCAATTTGCCTTGGTATTCAGACAGGAAAGTGCAATAGATATGCAGGTATTTCCAAGCAATGTCCAACTCGCACCTACACGCTTGATTAGGGGCCGTGGGTCGCTAGATCGCCGGTTATAAAATGCCTGCAAATAATTTGCCCAGCATGATTTAATTCTAATTGAAGATTGATGTAAATTGTCTCTAAATTAAGCGGTAAAGTACTTATTGTTTCAAAATACACCTCGGGTTATAACGAAATTAACATAATTAACTAGGTCACATGTATTTGTGTCGCCTTATATCAATTTGTTAACCAATGTACCTACCGTTTGCTGAAAAAATTCGTTGTATCTACGGATTCTAATATTTTTTTTTGTAAATCACTGTACAGAAACGTTTGGTTTATAAATAAGAGCAAGAGTAATCATTTAAAAATGAAAACAGTGATTATTTTATCATAGTTGATAACAAATCATTTCTTCTAACTACCCAAATTATGAATTCATAAACTCAGCAAAAAAAATAAGAGAGCGGAAAAAATTTCCGATTTTTTTAGTGATTTTTGAGACTAATTTCGTGAATAATGTATTTTACAAATCTTTTTTCGATTTTTCGTAACTGCCCATGGGCTCAGAAAAAGTTTTTCTGGCTTAGTCATTTAGCCTGTTTCCTCAGCTTCAATTTGTTTTTTTTATTGTTCCTCAAACATCAATTAATCATGATTAATATGAAAGAAAACAAATTTTTGCGTTATTTTTCTCACAGTTTCGCTTTAAACACCGATAAAAAAAATCAAAATTTTGAAAAAGAAATTCAATTTAAAAAGAAAAATCAAATTTTTCAAAATTTGTTTGCGTTATCTTTTTACAATTTCTCATTTCAAATGTCCAAATGTTGGAAATTACAAAAAAAATTTGAAATTTTGAAAAAAAAATTATTTGATATCAAAATATTCAGAAAATTGTACTGAACATTTTCTGTACAGTTTTAATGCGATTTCTTCTTAGTATGCCGTATTTCATCGAGTTAAAATTATTTGCATTTATTTAATTTTTTACACGCGTCGGTATACGAATTATTTTTCCGAAAGATCTCAAACCTTTTAAAAAAACAATTTTTTTTGAAAGCTACCAATTTTTCTCGTTAAAAAAAATAATCTTAAATTTTATTTACAAACTTTTTTTCGTCATTTGATAACTACCTACATATATTCATTTAAGTTAACAAAATTTTAAGAAAAAAAATGTTTTCAAAATTTTGAATTTTTTTTATCGATATTTGATGAGTTTAACGAGAAATTGAGAGAAAAATAACGCAAAACAATTTTGAGCTAAATGACCCTGGTATTGATTAAGCCGGAAAAAAAATTGAGGCCATTAGTTTTGAAAAAAATAAAATGTAAAATTTTTGAATTGCATTATTTCTTTTGATTGCGCCGAGAGTGATGCTCAAAAAAAATTTAATCTCGAAATTTTAAAACTAGAATCCAAGCTTCAATATGTTTTTTTGTTTTTCTCGATACGACCATTCACAAAGTTACAGCCTTTCAAAAATCACTAAAAAAATTTGGAAATTTTTCTGCTCCCATAATTTTTTTTGACGAGTGCATTTTATGCAAAAAATACTTGTTCTACAGAGTACCGCTGTTTAAAATATACAGGGTGTCCCGTGACTCGATGGAAGGTCGTATTCCTTGGACAATTTTAAGTCGAAAGTGCCTTATACACTTTGTCCAAAAATCAATAGTTAAGGTGTTATGGGCAATATTAAGTAAATCTAGTAAAGAGCATATTGAATAGTAATGTACCTAATGTTTTATTAATTACGAATTTTTTTATTGCTAACAGAAATTTAATAAATGATTTGGTTGAAAATGTCCCTCCGTTGCCCCACAACACATTCTTGCTCTTCTAATAATTGAAGTTCTCTGAAGAGTATCTGGGTCATCTGGTATGAATGAAGCTGCAGCCATAATATTTTGAATTAGCTCATCTCTGGTTTGTGGTTTATTTGAATACACTGGCACTAGACTTTTCATGTGCCCCCAAAGATAACAGTCAAGAGGCGTTAGGTCTGGCGACCTCGGAGGCCAGAGAATTGGACCTCCTCTTCCAATCCACCGGTTAGCAAAGTCACCGTAACAATATGACAAAACAATCACATCTGGATTTATTTACTGTTAAATATATTATTGCCCGTAACTCCTTAACTATCGAGTTTTGGACAAAGTTTATAAGGCACTTTCGACTTAAAATTGTCCAAAGAATACACTTAAGCTATGGCTATCGAGTCTCGAGACACCTTGTATATACTCATTATCATCCTGTATATGTACGTTGAAATATGACTTATCTATTTAATAAATCTAGCGGATCGCTAACGCTAATTCACGAAACGTGTTACGGTTTTTTCGCGGAACTGTTCGTGCGAACAGTGGGCCTGTCTGTACCGCCCTTTAATAACAAAGTGAGGCCCCCTGGTCGTACGTATCTAGTAATCTAGCGTCTCGACCAGGCCTTGTGGGCGAACGATTTTAAAATTAAATTTACAATGCCACTACGGGCTGTAAGTAGCAATTATCTTCGATGAGATACAGCTCCGCTCTATCTGGAGGCAGATGGTTATCGTAGATCTCGGCTAGGTGTTGCTTTTTCAGCTTTTTTTCGGCATTAACCGTATCTCTAGTTCTTCCAGAAGCGGTTGTTGATTATGAGATATTACATAATGTCCGTTTCCTTTTCATCAAGTTTAAAATTTTATTTTTAATTCTGCAATTAGCAACAGGCATCAGTGATGTATTCTCCTCGTTATTTATGACCTCCTCCCAACGTTCAACAAGTTTCTCGATGCCTCTTCTGTAGAAATCCTCCAGTTTTGACTCAAAAAACTAATCCATCCAAGCTCTTAACTCATTGTCGTTGTAAAAAAAACACTGCGTAAGGAATTTGACAAAATCAGAAGGCGCGAGGTCGGGTGAATAAGGCGGGAGGGGCAGAACTTCCCAATTCAACTCCCGAGTAACCGTTTTAGTCATATTGGCGATATGTCGTCGTTCATTGTCATGTTGCAAAAGAACGTTGTTATTGGACATAGAAATCTGCGTTGACGGTTTGATTGTCTGGTGAGAGTTTTTGCTAAAGAATCCCTTTCCACCAGACGCATAACATTGTCTTTCGAGGATGATTTTTTGATCTTGTTCGAGGTTTTACTTGTTTTTTGGCGCTTTGCGCTATTTTAAGTTCACTTACCGACACCATTTTTTACCACCAGAGACAATACGATGAAGAAAACGTTCCTGATGACCACGTGTTGATCAATGAGGACAAATCAAATCTTATAACCATTGTTCATTTTATTTTATGTTACATACTGCTATGATCTGTACATCTTTGGTGCGCGAACAATTGGATACAATTATAGAACAGACTCTAGAACAGGGAACCAAACACCAAATTTGAAAATACTGTGTAATTACTCGATTGACGCGAGCAAAGCAAAAATTTAAAGTTCTGATAAAAGAGTTAGGCACAAATTTCGAAAAGAAAAACTGCAATCATTAATTAACCTGGGCTTACAAATTCTGAGTTATATTTTATTATTTTTCGTCTGTTAAAACCTATTAACAAGTAATGTAAAAAAGCCGCGTGCCACCACTGGTTGTTATTTATTCTAATTCGCCCCTTATTAATTTCAGTAATGTTTCGTATGTTCTAACGTACGAATTGATAAATGTGGACCAATTTAAAAAAGATATCCTTCTTCATAATCGCACGGAAAAGATGGTTGACTTCAGAAGCTGTATTAGGCGAAGTTGACCTTTTTTGTCGACTCGATTTGCCAATAAAGCAAACATAGAATCGTGGGTCGTGAATTTAAGCTTTCCAAAAGCCTTGGATGGGCGCGTTGTTTGTTTCAATATAATAAATATAATCGTTGCTCAAACATCGGGGTATTTGGGCGGTAAGGTCAATAGATACCGGAGAGTTACCGTTTGTGTAAAAATAAATTGATAATTCCGGATTTATAGGACTTGTTTAGTGTTTGATTAACATAGCTTACACTGAGGAAAGGATTTAATGAGAAATAAAATTTACCAGAGCCAATTAGATTATTTATTTGGGGTTAATAAGGTGTTTATTTGAACGAAAATACAATATATTTACTTCTAAAAAATAGTTTCAAGTCAGAACGAATTAAATTATTTATTGTCCACAATTAAATATTTATTAAAAAACATATTTAATTGGTATATTCTACTTACTTTTATTTAGGTAAATATTATTTTTTGTTAATTTTATTATATTTTAGGAAATGGAACAGAAAC